TGGGCTTCTTTATGTTATTAAATAGATACTGCAGTTTAAATGTAAAGAAAAATGGAAAACTCCCATTGTGACTATCAGTTTTATAAAAGACATATTTATATAGTCCTAAAACAAGGTCTGTAACACTAAACCAGGTCATTCTCATGACACAAGGATTGATAAACGAGTTCTCTGAAACTTGTCTTGAGAGTGTAAAAATAGTGGAGGCTTTTAAAAAGGATGTCCTTGGTAGAAAACAGGAAGCTACAAGCATATCCATCTTTCCTCAGACTAGATTTCTGATGACAGTTTCACAAGTGTATCTTTTTTATATATAGAAGAAACCTCTTAGTCTGTGACCTGTCAAATTTCCATAATTCTGCTTTTTTTTTTCTTGCGACCATGTGACTTAAAAGTTAATTTTAGCAATCAACTGACTGTTATGCATTATCAATCAGTCAAATCTGTCTCTCCTTTGTGTTTCTTTTCTCTAAATCCATGAAATGTTCCAATTGGACGCTGCGTGGTTGGAAAGGAGACTAATAGATATTTCCACAGCTCAATTTAATACACTGACAGCAGACAAAGCTCCATATGGTGACTACCGTATCACCACCACAGTCTAAACAAAGGTTTAAAAAATGGAAATAACCCTCATGTACTCTTCAAAAACAGGTGACTTCCTGTATCTTCGCGTATTGACCCGTATTGGATTCAACGTAATTCCACAAAACGTATGATATGAAAAAAAAACCAGTTATGTTTAGTACAATCTAGATACAAAGTACAATCAATTAACTTTGTTAGGTGCACTTAACCCTCATGTACTCTTCAAAAACAGGTGACTTCCTGTATCTTCGCGTATTGACCCGTATTGGATTCAATGTAATTCCACAAAATTTATGATATGAAAAAAAAAACATAGTTATGTTTAGTACAATCTAGATACAAAGTACAATCAATTAACTTTTAATATCAAAACTTTTCATACATTACAAAGAATGAATATCTGAATTTATGATTTATAAAAATGTTTTTAACCACTATTTTTGACTGCCCCTCCCCCACACCTGTGGGATTTTTGCGATTACACATTTTTTAACAATAATATCTTGGTCTAAACCTAATGTAATCTTGACAAACTATATCATTTGAAAGGGTTCAGACTCTAGTTTTCATATTTGGTGACTGTTTTTCAAAGAAATGACAGAGCAATAGATAAATAGCGATAGATTCTCTATTTGTGATATGGTGCCAAACACACTCTTATTCTATACTTATATTTTTATGTGTTTTAGAGATTGAATTCAAATCAAATATTAAAGTTGCTGCCCAAAGTATTTCTGATTAGGATGTCTACTTATGAAAATTATGTAAATATATGGTTCAGAACAAATGGAAATCAAGAGTCCCTGTATATCATCTAGTGGAAAAGTCTGGTACTGCATCCACAAAATCTTACTTAAAAGTTCATTTCTTGAGATATCAACCTAAAGATTGGCACAAAACTTGTTCAGATGATTGGGTTTGATTTTCTTGAAGATTTGGAGGTAAACATGTTTTGTAAAATTTATATTTTACATAAAATATAATATATATATTTTTATATTTTACATTTTCATAAACTTAAACTTCCATAACTTTTTACAAATTTACTTTTACAACTGTTTTTTCTTCAAACAAAAACTTCTACAATAATCTGTGATTTTTCACCTTTAAAAAGATACCAAACTTAAGTCTGTGCTCCAAAGTATTCAAGATTTATAACAATTTTAGCTGTAAAAGTCATTTTTAGGTTCGTAGATTTGCCTAAAACATTAAAATAGGCAGGTCAAATTGACCCGGGAACAATTTTTTTGATAACAAATTTTTTTTTTCATGTCAAATCAGCATGTTGAAACTTTACATGCATGTTCATGACTCTAAATGAGAAAAAGTCACAAAACTTCAAGAAAAACAACATAGGTTTAATAGTATTTCAGATAGATTAAAAAAGAAATGATAGCTCATTTTTACCATCTTTGGCTGACAAAATATTTTTCTGTATTGAAATAAGTGGGGAAAAGCAAATTTTTTTGCTTCATAGGACAGTAAAAAACTAAAATAACAAAATATAACCAATAAATGTTATTATTTTGGGTCTGAAGAGTTGCCTTAGAACATTAAAATAGGCGGGCCAAATTGACCCGGGAACAGTACGAACGTAACAAAAAATTTTGTGGATGTCAAAACACATCAGAGTGTTGAAACTTTGCATGCATGTTCATGACTCTAAATGAGAAAAAGTCACAAAACTTCAAGAAAAAAAACATAAGTTAACTGATATTTCCGACAACTCAAAAATCAAATCGGGTCAAATTGACCCGGAACAGTACATAAGGCTTAACTAATTGACTCAATGATTTGTTTTCTGCCATGTGACTGCATTCAAACAGTATCAGTATCACAAAATAAAGCGTGTTCAAGCTCAACCTTAACTAGTCCCATGTGTGGAAACTTTTCCGCACATCCTGTACTTGGAAAAGACTAGTGAACACTGTGCCAGTCATATGTATGACATAGCAAGCTATGCAAACAAAACAAAAGGGATGGAAAAAGTGAAAGGAGAGATAAAGGGGGGAAAAAAGCTAAAAGTTTAAACTTCTAGACGCAAAACCTTTCTACACAGTAATCCCGAAATGTTTTAAAACACTTAAGCCACACTTAAACATTAAGAAAGAATGCACATGCACACTTTAAGCAAAATATAGATACCGTTCAAAAGATTGGGGTGAGTTTTGAGAGAAATTAATACTTTTCTTCAGCAAGGATGCTAAAATATGCCAGTAAAGACATTCCAAGTCCGATTTCTGCTTCAAATAAATGCTGTTCATTTGAACTTTCTATATCATGGTTTCCACAGATATGAAGCAGCACAACTGTTTTCGACATTGATAATAATAAGAAATGTTTCTTATAGTCAAATAGAAAACAGTTATTTAAAATTGCAAAAACATTTTACAATATTACTGTCTTTACTGTGCTTTTAATATAATAAATGCATCCTTGGTGAGTATAGGAGACTTCTTTCAAAAACTTGTTTGAACAGTAGTGCATCACTTGAAGATGTTTGATAGAATTTCAATGATAAATCAATTGATATACTGTTCAAAATGCATACAAAAATATTGTGACACTTTGTTGAAGTTAGTGGAACATGTTGACAGTTTATGTGATGAACCAGTGGTTCCTCTGCAAGGACACCTGTGTGAACTTGAGAACGGACTTCACACATTCACTAAAAATCAGCAAAATGATTAAAAGGCATTGAGCAGACAATGACTTTAGAAAAAACTTGCCCAGTTATTTAATTCTATGACATTCTTACATTTATGTGGCTTTGGTGTCTAAATATTTCTTAAGGCCAGTGAATATTCTTGTAACCCAAACAGTTTGTGTGTGTGTTGTGTGTGTGTGTGTGTGTGTGTTGAGTGTTTTGAGAAAGGAGCAGTCTGGACACTCCAGAAAATGGTCACATCACACAAGTAACATGAGCTTGTGTGTTTCAAAGCCCAGCTCACCGCCTGTCCCCTTGGGTGAGAATTACCCTCAACTCTGACCCTGCACATGTTGGTAGAAACAACACTCCCCCCATGTGTGGACGGCCGTGTCTGGGGTTTGCATTACGTCATCTGTTCAGACTATCTGCACAAATCTTGGACCATTCAGTTGTTTTTAATCTCTAGCAGTCATTATAAACCCAAAGCACACCAGCTTAAACTTTTAACTCCAGATTTAGCATGCACTTCTTTTGAGGGTTTGCTGCTTTATACACACACGTGTCTGTCTGAATACTCAGTTGTCTAAATCTGAACGTGTTCCCTTTGAAAGTGGAAGTCCCCTAAACTGAGCAAATGCACCAGGTTGCCAGGTGAGGGTCTGCGGGGGTGAGTGTACAGTTACAAAGTGGTTTAAGCCCCTGAGGTTGAAAATAATTTCACCAAATCCTGTAGTGATCCAGACTCAGACAGAAGACTGATGCTGTAGCCTTTCACCCCAGCCATCACTCCCTACTCATCACCCCCGGCCCTCATAACAGAACTCAACCACAGTAAAAATCACCTTTACTTCACTGCACAAGAGTAATAATACACTGTAAAAACGATTTTACTCTAACAAACAACATATTAGTCTACCATAAGTGTATAAAACAAATTGTTTGAATAAAGACAATAAGCATTGATGATTTTTATAAAGTTGTAAATAAAACAAAGATTACTCGAGAACATTTTACAAGAACGTCTTTCTACTTAAAAAATGTTTGTTTAATTCAGTACAAATTCTTTGTAATTAATTGTGAAATTTACTAGAAATTTCTGAAAGAACTGTTTTTACATCGCATTTTAACATATGTGAGTACATGTGAAAAGATGTTATAATAAAACAGATAAATCTGATAATTAATATGATCAAATTTATTGAGATCTTAATATTAAATACATATTTATTTTTTGTGTAGTTTTTATATTATAATTTAATAAATATTAACACTGTATTTCATTTTAATATTTAATTAGCTATATAACTATTATTATCCTTACTATTGTTGTTGTTGCTAAAATAAATATATGTAGACAATAAAATAAAATAAAATACAATTATAATATAAATAAATAAATATAATTATGCTGTTTTATAAATGCAATTAAGCTACTTGAAAGCATGCATTACTGTGATTTTACTATAGTTAATAGATTTTGGCTAATTCACATTGACTAACAACCCTCTTTAATCATGGTAAAATTACTGTATTGGAGTCACAGATTAGTGCTTTAATACATTATGTTAGAAAAAAGGGCCAATGCAGTCCTACAGTCAATAAATACATACAACCATTATGATATGTTGTATTCAACAGCTAAGAGCTCCTTGTGCTAAATGCACATAGAATAAAAGCTAATGAATTAGACAGAAAAAGGCCTACACACTCATTCAGACAACACAGTATTAGATGGTGATAAGTGAGTAGCTTCATCACTTACTGTGAATGTCGGGGCCACACAAGGCTGTGAGAGGACAAAGTATTGGGTGGCCAGGTTTATATATGCGTTGCGGTAGGATGTGAGTTTCTGGTGACCCTGGACAAGCTTATAGAGCTCCAAACACATCAGCCCGGCGATCGCAGCTGTTGTTGTGGCGATTGCTGGAATGATGCGGCCAGCAATTAACTTGCTCTGCAGATGAGAAAAGGGATCTTATTTACATAAATATGCACATCAATACACACTGTACACTGTTTGTGAATTACAAATGCATGCTCTTGGGTGCAAACTAGTCATGCAAACCATTAATGGAAAGTAGTACAAGCAAAAAATAGTATCTGGAATGGAACTCTATGGTCTAGTACAGTATAAACAAAAGGTCTTTCCTCAGGGTGTACTGTATATGTACAGGAACTGAGAACACAAACCCCCGGAGGGGAATGTTGATCACTTTAGAGCTTGTCTCACAAACAAAAGCACAGCAGAGTTGTTTGAAAAAGACAATAGTCATTCACTTTGTGGCGGTCAGCTGTTGGTATATCGTAGTTCTCTGCCCTCAGGTTGGATGCTGCGACTATGTAGTCCATGTGGAAATTACTGTCATCATCCTGGAACACAAGAATAAAAAGAACATTTGGTAATGTACAAACAACTGCATTTTTACAAGCATTGACACATAAGGAGGGGTTTGCACAGAATATTCTTCCATTCAATCCTGGTTGTCTATGAATACATGCATCAGACTCACATCATTGGCCACTGCACTTTTTATTATGCATTTTTTAATGCAACTTATAGTTCGGTGATATTTATGCTTAAAACATGAAGAAAACATTTGTCTTAAAGTCTTAATATCATCTGCCATTTTGCTTCATGTAAATTGTAAGTACATTGTACTTAATATTTATTATACATTAATTTAATATTTAATAGTATTTTAGGATATTTAGATATGTTTAGTGGAAAACAAGACATAAATACAGATTTAAAATATATTTTTGTGCATTAATAGAACAGTCTGAAACAAGCTGCATCATTTATTGTTGTCCTTTACTTCTTTTCAATTACGGAAAACACCTTTTGATTGTCCATCAGCAGATCTTCACCTAACAACCATCTGTTCGTTCATTACCACAGGGCAAATACAACGGCCAAAAGAGCTGTTGTGTCAAAGGTGCGATGCTGATTGCTATCTTTAGTCTTGTATAAAAAACAAGAAGAATTTAAAAACAGGAACAAAATGTAGCCACATGTATGTTTGCGCATTTTGGTACAACAGGTACTAGACAAAGATGTCATACCGCGTCATATTTAAACTTTGATAGTTTCCTATTTTATTCGAATGTAATGTTCCAGTGATACTGCACATGATGTCACACAAAACCGCAACTGCTCCAGATTCAACTAGTTTGCAAAACATACCATTATAAACTTAGTGATCTTTTCAAAGATATGACCATTAAATACCAAATAGGCCATTAAGCATAATCGCAACTCAAGAAGTTTGGTGTGATATTAGATCTTGCAGGAATGCTAGGATACCCTGGTTTTGAGGTTTTGGCACTCTTCTTATGCCCCAGGCACAGCAGCACTACAAAGACTGTCAAGTACTGGGTGTGTTGGGGGCAACTGCAGGGGTGTTTTGAGCGTAGTATATAATTTGGCAACTTGATGCCATCAGAATCCCCCAAATGCACATTCCACTGGAAAAACAAAACATCTGATCTGGCAAAGAATGCGTCATCGCTTAAAGTGCACACACACACTTGCACATGCATACGGACATATGATACAAACAGTGGGGCCCAAAAGTCTCAGACCACTACAGAAATATTCATTTTTCTAATTTAATAGAATTCTTGCATTAAAAATTATATTATCAGCCTAAAAAATATGAATGTATAATGTCTGAACTGTTTCTCTTTTCTTTATGATGGATGCACTTAATCGTGTTCTCCAGCATCATTTGAGATGTTCCAACAAGCATCTTGTGCCAGGGTTATTATTGATAACTAAAACTAAAACCATTAAACAAATACATTTTTGTTATTTGAATCTTGTTCATATAGACAAACGCTTTTTATATGAAAAAGCTTGTTTTATTTCAGTGTTTCCAAGACATTTTCAGTTAGTTCAACTAAAGTACTAAACTAAAACTAAGCACTACACTAGAAATAAAAAACTAAAATTGATGAAACCTACATAGACATATTTAAACCATAACAACTAATAACTAATAAAAATGACAAAACAGAACAAAATGACTAAAACTAACTCAAATTAGTGGAAACAACTCATTCAAAAACTAAAATCTAATTCAAAATATTACATACTTTAATAGTATATTAATGATACTAAAATAACACTGTTTTGAGATTCAATGTAATATTTATTCTCCATCATAACTATTCTGTTTTAAAATTGTCAAAATCTTAAATCTTCGTTCATTTTCAGGTTTAAATAAAAGAAAATCCCAGACTTGTGGACCCTGCAGTACATTTATATACAGAAACCTTCGTCTAACTGTTGCCATATGAACATTCCCAGAAAGATACCAGAATGCTTTCATCTTCAGGGAAAACAAGACTAAAGACCAGAGAACCAGAGAAAGAGAAATGGAGAAATGATAGTCCAGGTCAGACTTAAAGACTGAAGAGATTGTGAAAATCAAAGACAGATACATGCAGAGAAACACACAGACTGAGACTAATCCTCTTCCTAACAGAAAACACAACTGAGATGTTGTTCAGAGACTGCTGCCCATTCAGTCTCCATGTATGTGTGTGGAAGCCCATGTGTCATGCAGTCACGACAAATGACAAAGCAATCACTGACTAAACCAGCGTGCATCCAAAGTTTTTCATAAGACCCGTCTGTGCGTTGGATGCTCTCTTTCTGAGAAGCATGTCACAGCGGTGAGGTTCTGTGAAGAAGATCTGTCTCAACAGAAAGGATGACTGTTTTCTCTGGTCTGTAATGGATGGAGCTGGTTAAGGGTCGATGAAAACTCCAGTCGGGGGTTGGCTGTTTTAGGGCCAATTTTGTGGTTGGATGAGACCTCCTACCTGAGAGTGGACGCCAACATGTCTGACAGGCTCATTGCACATACCAAATGTGTGTATTTACTGAGGATGCCAAAGTTAACACTAACTTTTCAGACCAATTTTATGTTTACAGCTGCTAAAGGAATGATTGACACAAAAATCATACCCATTTCATCCTCAAGTCCTTCCAAACCGATATTGTTTTCTTTAGTAAGTGTAAAGTCAAAAAAGATGTTTTGCAGAATGTCTAGGCTGCTTTATTTCTATAAAATGCAATTTAATGTTTGGCAAAATATCAAAAACACCATTAATTTTCCTCTGCAGTGAATGAATGCCGTCAGAATGAGCGTTTAAACAGCTGATAAAACATCACAAGTAATCACATCACACTCCAGTCCATCAATTAACATCTTGTGAAGCAAAAAGCTGCACTTTTGCAAAAAACAAATGCAGCAAGATGTTTTCAACCTCTATCCATAATATTGCTTCCTCCAGTAACAAATGCACAAATCAATCAAGTCCAAAAGCATTTTCACGCAAAAACAATCCAAATCAGTTCTAAACAAATACAGTTTGTTGGTGGATTTTGATGTAAGAGGACAACAGGGGATGGAATTTTTCACTGGAGGAAACGTTATTATGGATTATGGATGGATTTTTACTTCACAAGATGTTAATTGATGGACTGGAGTTGTGTGGATTACCTGTGGAGTATTGTGATGCGTTTATCAGTTGCTTGGACTCTCATTCTGACGGCACCCATTCACTGCAGAGTTGGTAAGCAAGTGATGAAATGCAAATTATTTTTATTTTTTTTACAAATTTGCTCTGATAAAGAAACAAACTCATTTATACTGTATCTTGGATGGCCTGAGGGTGAGTACATTTTGGGTAATTTTTGGATCTATTTTTTTGGAACTATTTTTTGGAACTATTTTTTTAATACAAATGATACAAAGAATTAAATTGTTTCATCAAGGCATCACAAAACAATATGTATTGCGAAAATGCTATACAAATAAAACTTGACTTGACAAAGACATGATACCTTCTCAAACTCCTGTGGATGCATCCGGAAGCTTTGGTCCTTCAGCTGGAGTTTGGACAGCTTCTCCTTTAACATCTCCAGCTTGACTTTGTCTAAGAGATGCAGTGAGGGATATTAGCAGAGATATTTGATGTTTAACATTCTTTACAGACTTAATTTTATTATGTATATTTATATTAAGCATAAAATTTCACCTTCTTCTTTTCTCTCCTCATTTTCCTCTTTCAGCTCCTGGTCGGTCACTGCTATCTTTACACTAGATTTAGGGGTGAACTCGGGCACTTTTACCCCCTGCAGATTGCTCTGAATATCGGCACGATTTCTTGAGCCTGTAATCCCATAGATCTGCCCATATAAATTGCCCGCTGCCACAATGAAGTCCATATGGGTGGTCTATAAAACAAAAGAAAACAGTAATAATTTCAAATCAAAATACGTCTATTGTAGCTGGCAGAACAAAGGCAAAACTGTGAGTTTGTGTTTGATTTTGAGCTCAAGTGTGGAAAAACTTGCCATGGATCACAAACACACATGCAGAGAAACAGAACTCCAGTGGTTAACAGGAAATGATGAAAGGAAAGTGTGTAGCGCATTCAAAAAAACAACACTTCCCAAAATGGGCTAACCTTTGAAACCACAGAATTCAAACAGACTCTTATGAGTTAAAAGGAATTCCTTTAGGGGAACACAAATCTTACCAAATGCTGATAACATGTGTAAAGAATCAAGACAATGGAAACAATGGGCCATAAAATAGAATAATGGTTATAGAATGGAATCATTTGCATATCAAGAGACGTCTAATTAAAATATTTAGGTGTTTTTGCTTGATTTTTTTCTGTTTATACATGTGTCTGAAAGGGTTTCTTTGAAAAGCATGACTTGTTTGCTAATGTGGCACTGTGTGTTTACCAGTGTGAGTGTGTCTGTGAGAGAAGTTGGGGGTTTAAGATGTTTTCACCTTGCTTTGTTCATCACAGGTGATCACTGATATCAGATATTATCTTATTCACACCAGAAGAGAAACTGTGAGTCATCTAAACTTAGACAATGCTGTCTGCAGGGGATGATGGAAGATCCCAAGGGCTATGTGGGGGTATTTACTGAGTAAAACTTACATTGTTGGTGTCAAAGGTCAAAGGATGTGGACATCTCTTTGCGCCCATCCAGAATGGAAGTCCAGAGCTTGTTACCTAGTGAGGACCAGAGTGAAAAGGAGAGGAGAAAAAAGGGTAAAAAAAAAAAATTTTCTTTTAATGTTTGTAATATAATTTATATAATAATAATAATAATATATTATAATAATAATATAATAATAGTTTATTTTATATGTAAATTATACATATTACATGTGTATGTAGGATCAATTACTGTTTTTACTATGAATACCTTTTTAATATTTAAAAAAAATTTTTTTTTATTTGACTTATTATTAGATGTTTGTCCTTTTAAAATGTTTTAATAAATACTGTTTTAATATACAAATTATTTGTTAAAGATGCTATGTAGTTTTGCTGTTATTATATTTATTGCATGTGTACATAGTCTCAATTACATTTTAAATATATACTTTTTATATTATTGTTTTATTAATAATTTTTATGCATTTTATAATTTTTTATTTAATACATTTATAATTTTATTTACTTTTTATTATAATTATTTTTATAGGGTTGTCTAGGTTTCAAATTAAAAATATTATTGTTATTGTTATAATTGTTGTTTATTTTAAAATATAAAAATATTGTTAAAGACGCTATATAGTTGGCTCCAGTAAGCAAGAATGAAAGACGTCTACATGTGTTGTGGGCCAAATGGAAGCCCTGCAGCCACTTGTCACATGCTGATGCGAAGTGGACGTGATTGGTTACCATAAAGCCCATGTCTCCAAGCCTTTTGCTCAGACAGACAGAATAATGAGTTTATCATGTGTGTGTGTGTGTGTTCAATATAATTAGTTTTTTAACAAAAAACAGAAGGTGCTGTTCAAAAGCGCAAAGACAGACCAAAAGATCAGTAACACAAAGCTTATTCCACTGGTTTAACAGAAAGAATTGTGTGTGTTCACCTTTACAGCCATCTTTCTGCACACCAGGAAAGACGTCCAAGTGATAATGAGAAACTGTTATGTCAAACTCAGCCAAACCTCAGGGGAACTGCATGATTTATTCTTTTTTAGTACATTCATGCAAAATGGATCATGCACAAACCCTCAAACTGAACTGTGGTCTACAACTTCTGGTTTTGCAACGGTTATAACTGGACATGCAAGATAAAGGACATCAGAGTTTCAAAACTCTGTCTTCTTGTCCGTATGACCCCTCCTCTGGACGCATGTTTATCTCAGTGTGCAGGCACTGATGCTATGGATTAGACATCTCTCCACATCCGTACTTTGCATAATCATAGACACACAGACTCCCAGTAAAAAAGATCAATTGTACTTTTACTCTGTCAATAAGACTAAATTAGAATCTAAGAAAATATTGCAACATGCTGCCATTCTCATGATGAAGACTTTTGTTAATTTATATAATTTAATTGAAACTTTATCATGCCATTTAACCCTTTACAGACCTCACACTGTGGTTCAGGGCCCACTGTTGTTATAGACAACAGTGCCACCTGCTGGTGCAAAGTGAAACTAACTCAATCAACCCAAAAACAATGCATTATTTGACAAATTATTAAGGGTGTATTCACACTTGTCTTGTTTGGTTTGATTGAATCGAACTCAAGTTCGTTTTCCCCTTTGGTGCAGATCTTTTGGGCAGGTGTGAATACAGCACGTAGACCTCCTCCGTCTCAGGACACACACGGTTCTGGTGAGCGGTGATGTTCATGTAAGGGTTCATTTCTTTAACAGACTCTGCCGCCACCTCAGACTTCAGTCTCTGAGAAACACAGAAAGAATAAATGTAAATGCAGTACATTTTACCACAGCTGAGGGGTAAATTAGGCACAACATGAAGTGGATGTGGCTCATTCAGTCAGATTTCAGGTTCTGTTCTAGACTACAGTCACTGATATCTTAGTTTAACCATTTCATTTTGTGAAGCGTAAGTCAGTTTTGTAGCTGTTCAGTGCTGTTGTTTTGTGCCAACTCATCTTACCCCAATGTCCTTAGAGTGGAAAAGAAACTGTCGATTCAGATTTGATCGCTCAATAGAGTCCATGTCAGTCACCGTGATGTTCCCGCCCTCTCCCGCACCCAGACCAATCAGAGCGAAGTTCTTCAGCAGCTCACAACCAATTGCTCCAGCTCCGACCTGATCGTAGACAGAGACATTTTATCATAACTCCATTCTTCATTGTCACATGATCCTTGTGGTTTTGTTTACAGTTTCTGGTTCACTTGCAAAAAGGGCAGTGTGAAAGTGAACCGCACCAAACAAAAAAAATCGACATTGTATTTGGTCCGGACCAAAGCAAGTGAACTAGCGGACTTTCCTGGTGTGAATACACCCTAAAAGACTAGTAGGCCTTTAAGTAATCATTTAGCAGGTCATTTTATTATCCAAAGCATTTTACTGTACAGTTTTTGGGTGAATCTCATGAAAACTGACAAAACATATATGGGGCTAATTTCAAACTCTAAAAAAAAAAAAAAAAATTTGCTTAAAGACCATTAGGAATGACAGGAATGTTTCGCACCCTTTTTTGTCATAAAAATCTATAATTTGAAAAAAAAAAATCTAATATATATTATATATTTTTTTCTTAAGACTGTCTGGTAATGATCATTTTTGAGAATAAAATAACTCAGTTATAATAAAAAATTATGTCAGTGGAAAAATCACAATGGTTCTTAAAACAGGTTTTATAAAAATTTTGATTTTGGGATATGATCTAGACATGCTTTCATGAAATTTACCCTATTACAGTGACAATTCCCCCTAGGTTGCATACTGTAACTGGTGTGTACACTGGTCTCTGTGTTACCTGGTCAGGGGGAAAGCAGTGTAGCAGTTGTTTAATGTGATTGTTGTAGAGCGTTTCCCACTGTCTGCAGGCCCAGCTGATACAGTCAGCCCAGTTCTGAGGCCATTCCTCACCCAGACTCCTATAGACACCCTCCAGTATTTCCACAGCCTCCACATCCCCACGCGCGACTGTGCGATCAACAAATGTTGGGTCACTGCAGAGATGGAGAAAAGAAGTAGAGTTATCAGTATAGGAGTAGTTTTTGTTATTTTAATTTTTTTATCGTCAATTGTTTAGGCTAAATTTGATATGGCACCAAAATTATCATTAACCAAAACTTAAACCATTAAAAACACTTCCAGTTTTAAACCAACGAAAGCTGTTGAGTTGGGTGGGGTCCTTCCTTGCCTTCACTCACAGGCTGCAATTTGCAGACAGCCAAGAGGAAGTAGTTGAGATTGAGGCAGTTATCGCACCCAGACCAATCAGAGCGAAGTTCTTCAGCAGCTCACAACCAATTGCTCCAGCTCCGACCTGATCGTAGACAGAGACATTTTATCATAACTCCATTCTTCATTGTCACATGATCCTTCAGAAATCATTCTAATATGCTGATTTGCTGCTCAAGAAACATTTCTTATTATCAATTTTGTAAACAGTTGCGCCGCTTTATATTTTTGGGAAGCAGTGCTACGTTTCTCAGGATTCTTTGATGAATAGAAAGTGCAAAAGAACAGCATTTGTTTCAAATAAAAATTGTTTGTAACATTATAAATGTTTATACTTATATGTATTATATATGTATTAGTTTATACTTATATACAAAAATCTGAAATATTTGGTTGAATCACAAAAGAAACTCTGACTGACATATCCTTAGTGCTCAACAGGAAATGTCACATGGCACATAAAATATTTCCTGTGCATTCGACACCATTGACTCACTGGTCTGCTCATTGCTCTTCATAACAGATCACCGATAAGATCCAGCAGGGTTTACTGAAACACAAATCAGGGTAATGTCCTCACCTGCTGGTGAAACAGGAGAAATACACTCACCAGAAAATAGCTCTGTTTCTTCAGTTTGTCTTGAAAAGCAGATCCAAACACAGCAATCTGCCCATCATATCGGCTGTCTCTCTACAGCACAGAAGATAAAGATCACTTCATGTGAAGTATGTAAAGTGCTCAGTTGAGTATGTTCATCAGAAACAAGACTTTCATATTTTCTTTTCATATGAACTGGCTTACAGGAGCACAGGCGTCTTCAGAAAGGACTCCATCGTTCTCCTGAGGTAGGCATTCCAGGGCATCAAAGTACAGCCACTGTCTGAGAGGAGTGAATTTACCACTGCATGCCTGAAAGATTTCATACAAATGTAGTCATTAAAAAATGTGCTTATATATACACCATGGTCTCAAACTCAACTGGTGCTGCCAGAATAAAATGTTAAATGATTAAGCTCACCTTCACCACCTCCTGAGCAGCCAGACCGCCAATGAAGGCATTGACAGGTGCCAGGTCACCGCTGGCAACCAGAGATAACTGCCTTACAGCGTCTTCATCAAGCTCATCAAACTTTGCATCTGTGCAAAGCTCTTTTGTGATAGTAACCAGCACTTCAGCATCAGCCTATAGAGGGAAGCAAAAACACAGAGATGAACTACTCAGCTACTACATATGGGTGTAAAATGTGCTGAAGAATCTGACAATGAAAATTCAATGCACTTATTAAGGTGCAATAAATTCAAATTCCACTCTTATAATGTAATATTAAGTGCTTCTTTCTCATTCAAAATACAATTCCTGAACTATTTTCAGTAGTAAAATAAATTTTTGTCTGTTTTTGTTTGACACAATGCTGTAAACTGTTCTTCCAGTTACTTTTTTTTAATAGTTATGAACCAAAGGAATCAAATCATATTGTACCAATTTTTATTATGCCACGATGCATTGCATGTTTTATAATTGTAATCACACGGAATCATTGTCAGAGCAAATACGTTATATATCTGTAAACATACACACTTAAAAAAGAATAATGCTTTTAGATGTATAATAAAATGTTTTAATGGAGTATATTAATAATTATTAAAGAGGTTTTTCAGAACAGTAAAAAAGCCAACATTTTACACATGTTGTGACAATACACAATCTTTAAAAATGTTCTGTGAATATACTTTAAAAACCTTATTTAGCATAAACGTTTTGTTGGACTGACCTGGGATCTAGGATGGGGTGCCCGGCTGTATTTCTGAGTGAATCTATGCAGGGCCTGGAAGGCCAGATGCAGAGACAGGTGTCTTTGTGTCTTGCCATAGTCTGTCATCTCCACAAGCTCAGGATCTCTGATCGCTTCATCCAGAGCCACATTCAGAGGTTTCTGTGAGAATTAAAATATCAGCTCAATGACGTGCCTTGCTTTAATGCCGTACGTCGACACACTTCCAGATTTCAAAAACATACTACGTCAGTAGCATCTTTAAATAATTAATTATTCCATACTATGCAGTCAAGTATCCTCACTATGGAATAAATCAGTCATGGGTGATACTTACAAAGCTGAGGATTTCAGTCTGTTTCACTTCAGTTGCCACTCCACCCTTCACATACTCAGAAAAGTTTGAAGTGTCACAAATACTGAAGGAGTAGATGTCTAAAAACATTAAAATATATTGTTATTGACTGATTTTCATTGCTATCGACATTTTCTTGACCTTCTCTATCAATGATCAGCTCTAAATGTTTTCCATATGTGACCCTGGAGCACAAAACCAGTCTTAAGTCGCTTGGGTATATTTTTAGCAATAGCCAAAAAAACATTGTATGGGTCAAAATTATCGATTTTTCTTTTATGCCAAAAATCATTAGGATATTAAGTAAAGATCATGTTCCATGAAGATATTTTGTAAATTTCCTACCGTAAATATATCATATACTTCATTTGTTTAACTTTAAAGGCAATTTTCTCAATATTTTGATTTTTTTTGCACCCTCAGATTCCAGATATTCAAATAGTTGTATCTCAGCCAAATATTGTCCTATCATAACAAACCATACATCAATGGAAAGCTTATTTAAGCTTATATAATCTCAGTTTCGAGAAATTGACCCTTATGACTGGTTTTGTGGTCCAGGGTCACATATATTTGATCATATGACACCTACCTCTCACTTTGATCTCAATGGGGCCATAACTATTGAGTTCAGTCATGCCTTGAATCTCAGAGAAATTCACAAACATGCCATCGGTGAACTCGTGGCTTTCCTCATCTGTGCATGTCACTATGCCTGGATTGTCCTATGATGGAAAATAACACATTTTCAGCTCAAATTCATTTTAGGATAGTAAGAATTGTATTAGAAATTAAGAAATGTTGACTCATAAGGGGTGGTAGCAAATTTGGGAAACTTGTTTTGAAACAATCATTGTTTGCAATTACATTTGGCACCTCTAGAAAATTACATAGGAACTAAAAATTAAAATTATGTCATATGTCATGTTACAAATCCATAAGACTCTGTTCATGTTTGAAGCACAGATAAAGAGATTTTGAATGAAATCTGAAAGATTTCTTTCCCTCCATTGAACGTCCATTCACTTTGACGCTTCATGAAGTTCATTAAGAAATAATAAACATAATAAACATCAATCAGTTTAATTCAAGTCTCCTGTAAAGGCACAATCCATTTATGATCAACGGACTTTATTTAGGTTTTTATTCACATTTAAATTTAAAATATGGTAAACAGAAGCTCAAAAATGCTTGTTTTAGTTTTGCTGGAATGGATATTCAATGGAGGGACAGAAATCTCTCAGATTTCATTAAAAATGTTCAAAATGTAAAAAAAAGTCTTTATTTGTATTTAAAGTTACTTAAAGGTCTTATAGATTTGAAATCACATGAGGGTCGGTATCCCTTTAAGAGAACCAAACTGAAAGTGAAAATGTGATTTTTGTCCTGTCACCTTGCTGATATGAGCAATCATGGCTGATACTGGAGTCTCTCCATTTGTGTCTCTGACCTCAAATGATTCGCCAAAGTCACAAAACAGCTGCCTGTGAACCAAACACACAAATCAGAATCTGATCCAGTACTATTTTAACCAGCTTCACATATTTTGCTGATTCATGTGATGCAGCCTACCCACAAAGCCCTCTGGTGTCAGCCACAATAAACTTTATATTGTTCGAATGACAAAATGCTCCCACACGTAGCTGCTCTTCTAAAGGTGAATTTGTGAGCACCACCACCTATTGTGATAAACACATTAAATATGACTAAGCAAGAAAAGGGGTTAAAACTAAACTCTAACTAAAACTCTTTATTGCACATACATATGAGTCCAGCATCATAACTCACCTGGAACTTACTGAGGAAGTCCTCATCGAGTTTTTTGGTCCAGGCAGACACTCGAACATAGACATTCAGACTAGAGAGCTGCTTCTCAGAGCACAAAGCCCTGTTCTGACCCAGATCAGCTTCCTTTAGGTAAAACTACAGAGAGAATTTCAAGTAAATTTTCACATAAGTGATTATCATTTGTAAAAGACACATGAAAACCTGAATAAATCATTTATATTTCTACAAATTTCACTGTTCAAAACAGCAGCTCGGACCATCTTCACAACATCATCGTTTGTGGTTAATAAATGATGACAGAATGTTCATTTAGGTGAAGTATTGTTTTAATTGCAGTAATAGGACCTATTACCTGAGAGGACAGATCTCTCCACTCCACCACACCCTCATCCTGAATGGTGACCGATCGAACTCCAGCCAGGATCACATTCTTGGCAATCTCCACACCAAGACCTCGCATTCCAGCAATGAGGACATCAGCCTTTCCCATGCGACGCATTGCATCATGGTCAATCACGTACCTGTTGTGAGATGAAAAATTGCACCATGCATAAAGTAACATTTCCGTACTTGCTGATTTAATATTTGAAACATCTGAACTGTGAATGCTGCCATTTTCAATTGATATATTTTGTGTCACAGAATAAATAGAACATTTGATCTAAATTAAAACAAGCATCCATTAAATATTACAAATGCTCTCAATGCTACCATGATGTATTCTTTGCACTTTGCATATTTAAATAACATATAGAATATTTTCATATAACGTATCAGTAGTAAACAAAATAGCATGCAAATGATTTCAACTATGCAAAAAAAAAAAAAAGACCCAACCCCAGTTACTTTTGCTTTTGATTTCTTTGAAACCAGGAAGAGATATTTTCATATAACGTATCAGTAGTAAACAAAATAGCATGCAAATTATTTCAACTATGCAAAAAAAAAAAAAAGACCCAACCCCAGTTACTTTTGCTTTTGATTTCTTTGAAAAATACCAGGAAGAGACAAGTCTAGGTGGGGCGTAACTATTCATACAGTATTGCTGACTTGGAACATACAGGAAATACATAACTGGAATTCCTCAAACTAAGTAACCCGACCTCAAAAAGATAATTTTACATTAAAATTATAGCTGAAACAACAAACTGAAATTAGATTTTTTTGAACAGAGGAAACCGAAAAACTGTGAAATATATACTTTTAATATATAAATGAAAGTGTAATAAATGCAACACCGATTTTTCTCCACTGGAAATGTAATTCAAGTGATTGCATTCGGTTTCAACAACAGTTAATTAAAGTAAATGAAGTACAAACAATTACTAGAAGTGAAAATATGATTACTCAGATGCTTTACACCCCGGTGCAGCAGTGACTACTGGCAATGAAATTTCCAAAGATAAATTTCCAAGAAACAGAAAGCACAAATAGGTAGACGTTTAAGGGAAAACCAAGATGCAGATAAGGAAAGCAGATAAGAACATTTTAGAGTGCACTTACAGCTGTCGAGAATATAATCCCTCGTCAATATCAGCCTGAGCCATTTTCTGTGAGAATGACAAATCATTGTTAGTGCTGTCCTTTACAAAGACGTACAGCAATGGTATCAGATGCTAATAGCATGGTAATTCCTGATTTCCATATTCATGATATTTATATGTTACATGTAATAATGTAATACTGTACTATTAATATGGTGCATGTTAACATGTTAGTACCATAGTACTTTTTTTGCAGTGGTGGGTCTTTTAAATACACCTGTTCAACACCTGGGTATAAACAATGCAAGGCATTGAGCGTTTTCAAGGATATTGTACATTAGCGAACAACAAGCGACCAGCGACGAATTTATAAATATGGCAACTGTATAATTAGCTGTAATGAGCTATTATTGACTAAAATCGTCAAAGAGTAGGCAATATTTTCAGTAACATTTACCTTTCAGTGGAGTTTGGCGTTTGGTTCCTCGTTCTGTCAGAACAGAATGTGATCTGATTCAGAGTAAAGGGTTTCACTTTCGTTTCTGTTATTGTGTAACTTTCGGGCCTTTCTCTCACATTCGGCCATATCGAGTGATTAAAAAGCCAATTATTTTTATTTTGCTTTATCTTCGACCACTTCTGTCACCGGACGCTGAGATTCCTCAGGTGAGGTCAACACCTGCACGAGCAAATCACCACAAGATGGCGCTGCAAATCAACGGAAATAACAGACTAAGCTTCAGTGACTGGGCACCAAACGACCCGGAATTTGTCTCAAATTGGTCAGATAAGATCACTCAATCTTTCAACCGAAATGTTGTTAAAGTTCCACTCTGTCGTTTATCAGGTCCAAAAAATTGTCCAAATCGCTGCTAATGAATATAGTCCAATAACTAGCCGTCATGTGACACCTGTTACTTTTTTCAGCGCATACCTGGATTAACCATTTACAATCATTTATGATTTCAATATATATATATATATGAAGAGTTCAGATTCAAAAGCCTCCAAGTGCCGTATGAA